ATTATTAAAAAGTATAATTTTTTATTATTATATATTGATAATATTAAAAATTTTAAAAATAATAATTTATTTTATTAAAGCTTACTAGTAGTTTTGATAAGTTAAATTAAATTTAAAAATAAAAATATTTTAAATAGTTTTAAATAAATAATTATAATTAATCATCTATTTATTTAAAAGTAAAGATATTAAACTATTTTAAATAATCCTAAAAATATCAATAAATTTGTTAATTTTAAAGAAGATTTTATTTATTGATATTATATTTTATTTTTTAATAATAATATATAATGAAATATTTTTATTAATCTTTATTTTTAAAATTCAAAATCAGATCCTATAAATCCAATTCTAATTTATTAATCTTATTATAATTATTGATTTTAAAATTTTTTTCTTTTAAAAATTATTTATAAAAATTATTATAATAATTTTTAACAAAAATTACTTATTATATATAAAATTATTTGAAACTATTTAATATATTATTCCAACTTCAATCAAATTGCTCATTATATATTTCACCTCTTAATAAATAGAATAGATCTTTTAATAAAATTTTATAATAACCTAATTGGTTTGATTCTCAATTACTCAAACTTGATAATATGAATATAGAACTATAAATATATTACTTATTTTTTAAAAATAAAAATATATAAAAATTTAAGATTAGATATTATTAATTACAAATATATAATAATGATGTTTATCAAATTATTTTTTATTATTTATCCAATTTTAAATATTGTATTTAATCAAATTTAATAATATAATTTATTCAAATTTTAGTATTTTAAGTAAACTTAATAAATATTAAAGAAGATATAAAAATAAAAAATAGAATATATGTTTCAATCATATATTAGGTATTCTGACATGGCAAAAAATTTTTAATATATATAAAATCACATAAAATCTAAAAATTATAATAGTTTCTCTTTTAAAGTAATGGAAAATGATAAAAACAAAAAAGATAATATATTAACATTACATATAGTATTTCTAGGAATGCTAATTATCATAAACTAGCTTAAAATTTGATTTTACTAATAAGTTTCAGTTTCAGTTTATCAAACATATAAGATTTTAATTTTAGAAAGCCTAGTTCCTTAGATATTATTAAATATTTATTAATAATATAATAAAAAAAATAAATATATTAAAGTAATAACAGATTTGAAGGTAAATCAAATCTTAATTAATTTGTCATATATTTAGGTTTGTTCAAGATAAGAGTAAAGAGATCAATAATAATAACCTTTTAATTAAATTTTTTTGAGTAAAAGAAAGTTGAGACGCATTCTTGCGAATCAATCTTCCAATTGAATAATGATTTTATTTATAAGGAAAAAAATTATACTGAGTAATTTATAAATTCCATTCATAATTAAAATTAAGACCGGACCGAGATTTATGAAAATGTCCGTATTATGAATGCAAATTAAAATTAAGTAATTATAATACAGAACATAATCAATTCCTTCGATGATATATAAACTTTCCTTTCGTCTCTTGATGGATGAAAACCCTCTATACAAGACCAAAACCACCAGTAAATGAAATACGCATCATGCTTCCAAAGTAAATGATGTAGAAGATGAATATAAAATTTCGTTTAAATAGATGAAATAAAACTGCTTACTCAGATTTGGTTCTTGTTGTATGGTTTTTTTTGCAATAGGAGGGGGGAAACTTCCAAAAAAACAATATTTGGCATCTTCATTAGTAGCTATACAAAAAAATCAATTACTAGTGTGTAATAATAAAATATAATAAAATTAAAAAAAACTCAACTTCAATGCATCTGATAAAAGATTAACTAGAGATTCTTCAAATTGTGTACAAAAATCGTGGAATCCCAATGAATGTATTCTATAACTTCAATGTATGAGAATACATATTCTAGCTTCCGTCCGACGAACTCATCATGCTATGGAAACTGTGATTTATAAATGTTGTTGAATGCGTTAAGAAGTGCCAGGCAAGTATCAATTGTGAATTTAAGTGGTATTATTATTTTTGCTAACTTTCTAATTTATTCTACAGGATTGAATTTAATGATCCATCATATCCCTAATTAATAAACACCTTTAAATTATTTATTCTATATTATACATCGTAAATTTCATTTCATAAAAGCAACAAATTATATTGAAGAAAAAAAAGTAAAAAAAAAAAAAAAAAAACTCATTAAATTATTATTATATGCTCTTTAATAAAGATAAGAGGTATTTTTTAAAAAAAAATCTTTGACTTTATAGATTATTAATTTAAAAAAAAAAAAAATTTAAAATTTCTTTCTATATACTAAAAATTTTAATAAACCCCCAAAAAGAATTAATAATAACAGATATAAGAAAATGATTGTAAATATACAATACAAATAATGTAAATATAAAAAAAAAAGAATTCAAAAATTTAGACTTCATCCAACCTAATATTCACTTTGTTAGATGATTCGATCTCTTGCTCTTTTTGCTCTTTTCAAATTGTTTTTTTTTTAAAAAAAAAGGAGAGAAAAAAGTTAGTTTAATATTTATTATATAATATATACTATATTATTATGATATAAAATAAATGGTGTATTAATACATGAATCAAAAGGCTTTGTTTGATTCATTGGATTATGACACACATTTTGTCTATTTTTTACCATTATATGCCTTTTTACCAATATCAAATGGAACATATCTGTCAAAGTATAAGCAAAAAAAGATATATTAGCAAGATGAATTAAATATCTATGTACATATAATCAAGAAAACTTACTTGTATTTTATCATATGCTTTATCTGTCGTTTCATAGTAATGGCGAAAAGAATACAAAAATATATAAGAAGAATCGGCCAAAAAACTGGTATGTCAAAGAATGAGAAAAAGGTGCAAAATAAGGATATGATGACTGCTTTTGTTGAGGAGTACCTACAAAGAATTCAATTCAACCCGTCAAGTTTGTGAATAAAAAGAAATTGAAAATTGACATAAAGAATAATAGTAATAATAATGATTATTATTATTTTTCATACCAAAATTTGAATTCGGGCAATCTTCGAATAAATGGCTTAAATTCTTCATCAGCTTTAGTGGGAAGTGAGGGACCATCTTCTGCTTCGTTTTCTGTAATATCCATTTCTAACGAAGGATCAAATTTAGGTTGCAGAAATGCAAGAAAAAGATTAAGAAGATAAATCCCTAACGCCTAAAGAATTGAAAATCGACGTTTATTAGAATTCTCATCCTTTTGATACTCTGAAAGGATCCATTCTACGGGCAAAAAAAAGTAAAAACTTACATAAGTTACTATGTAAAATCCTTGTAAAGTGAAAATGCGCAGCATAAATAATAACAATATAACAACAGTGGCAGTCCATCTGTACACAGAATATGGGGTTACTTCGTCTAAAAATTTTTGATACCGCTATTTCAAAAAAAATAAAAAGGGTATAAATAAATTTCCTTTCAAGAGGCGAACTCATAAAGTAGATACCTTTTCAAAGGCCGTTCTCTGAGCCCTAAGATTAGACCCACTTGATTCTGATGAATCTAGTGAACCGTTTGAAGTTGACATAATTGAAGCCAATGTTCGAAAAATGATGCAAAAACAAAAAAAATTCTGGTATTTAAAGTACTTTTACTTTATCTGTAGATCGATCATTTATTATCCTTATCTTAGAATCATCACCAGCGTTAAGTATAATTCGGGCCCAAAAATAATAAAGGGTGATTATTATGTTTACATGTCTAACCGATTCATGTGCTTTTAGTGTTCTCCATGTTATGTAAGTTACTAATCCATCCATTTAAAACAATATTTATTATATTTATATAATCAATCCGCAGTGAAGTTATTGGTTGTGGGGATTTGGGGAAGAAATTTATGGGAACTTTCTCAACTAGGTGAAGAAAATGTGGAGACTGTCGTACTAGGCTTTGACATTACCTTTTGTTTAGTCATGATTAACTACTGACATGCAATTCGCTAACGCACGTTATTTAAATTTTAATTATCCGATTTTAAATACTGATAATCAGCTGTTTTTGGGAAGACAAAAGTTTGTGAATAATTGTTTGAATGTACCTTTCACGTTTTGTATGTCAAAAATTTTAACCAAATTTAGCGAGTTCTATTGGGCCAAAAAAAGGTTGAAAAAAAATCTACAAAATAATTTTGAATTGACTCATCATTTAAAAGGAATTATGTTTATTTGTATTCTTCAATACGAACTATAAATGGGAAATAATTTTAAAATTATTTGTGTGTTCAAAGAATTGAACCAATTTATATTTTCTCCGAATCATCCATTCACTTGTTCTTTATCATTGCTCATCTGATCTACAAGAGATAAACGTGTGAAAAATCAAATGCTCAATTAAGGAAGAGCTGTTTATAACTTCCGATATAAATATAACTCGGAATAATTCCTTATTTTAATTATCCCACCGTCAACATATATATCTCACGAAGGAATAAATTCCATTACTTACCTCAAAAGGATAATGTTGAAAAAAGTTTTTGTGGAGAAATCAATTCGTCCGTTATTACATAATTTGACAGGTTCATTTGGTGGCTTGGAATTTACTTATTTATTAGGTTAACAGTGATGTAATAATCTAAATAGAAAATTCATAATCAGATGTTTGATTAAATTTCCGACTTCATTAAAGTCGTACAATTTGCCCTTTCTGCATTTTATAATAATAAGAGTCTTACTGGTTTCAGTCTGGTTTTCTTTTTACAAGTTTGTGAAGCAATCAAAAAGTATGGAAGCTTTATCTATTTTAAATAAACTTTTTTTTTTTTTTTATTTTTTTGGTTTTTATTTTTTTTTTTCTGTGACAAATAAAAGTTGTGCATTCAACAGTAAACAGTTTTATGTTTACCACTCATCGCTTATCATTTTGACGTTTTTTCCCTTTTTTTTTTTTTTTTTTTTTTTTTTTTAGCATTCAAAAAATCTCTAACAATCATCTAAATCTATTCACTCAAAATACTCAAAATGAAAACCGATTCTGCAATAAAACAACGTTATAAATCACGCAGACGCCGTCAACCTCAGGGAACTGCCTCTCGTCCACAATATAACAGTAGTAGTAACAATAGTAGTAGTAATAATTCACAAGAATCGACATCGGCTGATGTCATTTTACCACCACTGGTTTCAGTATCACAATTAACCCTTCTTTCACAACAAAAAGAAAAGGCAACTTTATTTTCTCTTCCGGCCGAGTTAATTACTCGGATTACATATTATCTTACCTTACAAGAATATTCCCGCTTTTCACGTACATGCAAATATCTTTGCACACATTTTCAGAAAGAACTTATCTTATTTCTTAGATATGTCTATGGCCTTTCTGTTAGATCTGGTTCCTTAATCCTATTTGCTTATGGGGCTCATTTACAATATCGTGCACCAAAATTACTTGATCGTATTTTAGACGAGTTTTTTGTTGATGCTAATGATTCTCATAATACTGGACCTAACATTAATAATAGGGTTTCACCGGCTTCACGTCAAGCAAATTCACGGTGGCCTACATATTGGTCAGTTTTATACTCACTCGACAAAGCACCTAATTTAGAACCCCCGGTTAATAATACTAATACACCGGGTATAAGTTCTTGTTGTAATGAATGTTATTTTCAACCACATCAGAATATGTCATGTTATAAGTGCGCGTCTGCTCAATATCAAGGTTCAGAGTCAATGACGAACCCAAATCCAAAATTACAATTCCTTCAAAGATATGCGTCGAGAATGAATGCAAAATTTGCTGGCCGTTCTGGAAGGTCCGTTTCAGGTGAAAGATCACATAATAATGGACGTCGTAATGAATGGCTCATTACTGATGTGAGACTCAAAAAAACTTACAATATGTTGATCATGCAAAACATTCGGTACGGAGACATCTCTCTTTTAAGATTTTATCTTGACAAATATGGTGCGCCAATCAACGCGCAAGTAACATTTTCACAAGAGGTTAGTCGTTGAATTAATAGTTTGATCTTCATAAAGTACATCACTCATTATCATTTTTCATTTAGGAGCAAGTATATCTTGGGGCGGACAGCGAATTAATGAAATTGTTAGATGAATACCGTATACGAGTTGTTCTGACCCCTTGATTATAATTTTTATTTTATTTTATTTTATTTTATTTTTTTTAGTATTTGCGCCCTGTATATCTGAATTCTAATTGTAAATTAGATTCAACCTCAATTTCTTTTTCTTTATTGCATTGTACCTTTATTTATTTCAAAAAAAAAAAAAAAATTGAACTTTTTTCCTTATTAAAAATGGAAATTTACTCATTTAGTACTAATCCCGAACATTTAGAAAGTTTTCTTTAAATATGTATATGTATTTGCTTTTATATTATCAAATAGAACTATATAACAATTCAAAGTTCTTCCTTTTTGACCAAATTGTATAAACCCCCCAAAAAAATTAATTTTTTTTTTTTTTAAAATTCTCCTCATATTTTAATATTAAATAGTCATTAGGGCTGATTAATATATAAGATCCAATGTGGAATTGGTAATATATCAAAAAAAAAAAATTATTTATTATTATTATTATTATTATTAATGGAGTGTATATAGGATTATTGAAATTTTAACGATATTTTATTCAATATATTTTAATACCTTAAAGAACGAGATCACACATTTAATAAAGAAACGATGTGTGTTATTTATTTATTTTTACCAAGATTTAAGGTCATGGATTTATTAACCGATTTTTCTGTGAAAGATTGTTGTAATATAACTCTCATGATTAAATCAGAGTATCATCACAACGACATGGGTGATGGATACTATATTCGAAGGGGGGGGGGGGGGTATCATGAGAGGAGTCAAAACTTTTTATATCTAAACAAATATGATTCTGATATCGAAAAAAAAAAATTCAACTATAAATAATTTTTTGATGTGCTATATTACAGTATTTTGTAACTTTTATTTGTCTGACGAATCGCATACATGTTACGATACATTTACTGAATTATATATGGAATATTCTTATAAATGAAAATTTTTTTGATACAAAAACAAAAGTCAATCATAAGTACATTGTAACATTCCGTTTATTAATATCCAGTAATCGATAAATTATAAAAACATAACTAAATATAGTCATTATTAACTTTACATTTCTCGTCAATTTTAGCGTCATCTTCAACAAGTGAATTTAAAAGTTTTTTGATTTTCTGATAATAACAAGTGGGATTCAGTTCATAATTTACAGTTATAAATTAATTCAAAAAATTTAAATAAATATTTTACCTCTTCACTCATTTCTACTAATAAACAAACGTGAGTTTAATGATAATTTTCATCATATTTGAACTTAGCTCATAGAAAAGTGCTGTAATTGCTTTTAATTTTATATTTATATAATAAATTCCTAACATGTGAAATTTCAATTACATAAAACATATTACAAGCAGATAAGTCTTAAAAAACAAGATTTGAAATAAAATTTTCTTGAATATCAGAAAGTTCTTTATGATTTAAATATTTATTTAAAAGTTTTGATGAATCTGTATAATTGTTTTTTTTTATAAATAAATGCATTTCATTTGTTAATTTTAAAAGGTTTTTAACTTATATTAGGATTATTTAAATATTATTAAAAATTAAAAAATTTTATTTTATAATTATTATTATTATAATTAATATACTAATTTTTTACAGATTTAGTAAAAAAGATAATTTATAATTAAAAGTGAAAATCAGATTGTAAATTTAATGTTCAAAAATAAAAAAAATAAAAATTAGTAAATATATTAATATTAATTATGTTATATAATTTATATTTAAAGTTATTTATTATTAATATATAAAGTATGTTAATAATTAATTTTTAATTAATAAGCTTTATAAAATCTAAATATTAATTTTTTTTATAAAATTTGTTATAAATAATATAGTTAAAATTACAATTTATTTTTATTATATAATTTTTATTTTATTTTATTTTTATTTTTATTATTTATTATTTATTATTAATTTAATTAACAAATCTATCTAATATAACCTTTGCAATTTATTTGATATACTTTTATTAATATTAATCCTTTTAATAATAATTTATATTATGATAAATACTATTAAATACAAGTTAATTTATACTTTTTTATATAAATATAATATGACTTATCAAATTTTATAATATAATTATTATATAATATTACTATTTATAATCTTAAGATTCTGATTTCTTAATTTAATAAAAACATACTTAAATTATTTTAATATTTTAATAATATTAATATTAATATATATAAAATATGATTATAAAAAATTTTATATAATATAATTAATAGACTACTATACTTAAAAATCACTCAGTACATATAAACTTTATTTTTTTTAAAAATGTTGTTCTAAGATATGAAAATTATTTTATTAATTTAAAAATTTTAAAATTAGTAGCTTTAAAATTAAGGTTATTTTATTTACAGATCATAATCGTAGTGTTTGAATTTTATATCACGTGATAAGGCTACATTATTTCCTTATTTGATTTATGACGGAGATGGAATCCCTTTTTACTAAGCAAAAAGTAATGGTGATTTTGACCTGTAAACTCCGCCGGACCTAAATTATATATATATTTTCCGGTATTTAAAAAAAAAAAAATAACGGTTTTGTCCTTCATTTTTGAATTTAACTCTAAATAAAATTATTTTTATTTGATCTTTATTTTCTTTCTCAAAAGCATAGTTTATTAGTTTCATTGATTCAACATGCCTAAGAATAAAGGAAAGGTAAATTGGTATTTTTTTTTTGAATAATAATTCTTTTGAATTTGAAAATTAAAAAATTTTGATCGCTTCATAGGGAGGAAAAAACAGACGGAGAGGAAAGAATGAAAATGAATCTGAGAAACGAGAGTTGATCTTTAAGGAAGACGGGCAAGGTAAATTCTTTATATTATAATAAATCGTTCACGCTTAGACTCGTAATGAACAAACCGGTTTAACTAATCCTTTTTTTTTTTATAAATTCTCGTCAAATAATAGAATATGCACAAGTAGTAAAAATGTTAGGTAATGGTCGTCTAGAAGCCCAATGTTTTGATGGCGAAAAACGCTTAGCACATATCCGTGGAAAACTACGGAAGAAGGTAATAATAAAAAAAAAAAAGATATCAAATTTAAAACTTGTATGATAAAGAATCATTTCTAACCTCCTTTATCCAAAGGTGTGGATAAATCAAGGAGACATCATTTTGATCTCTCTTCGTGATTATCAAGACGCAAAAGCCGATGTTATTTTAAAATATACAACAGAAGAGGCCAGAAATTTGAAAGCATATGGCGAATTACCAGAAAATGGTATATTTATTTGTTTTAATATTTTTCACCACTTGATGTATTTTGATTTCTCGTTCTAATAAACATTGAATGTTTCCTTTTATTAGCTAAAATTAATGAGACCGATACATTTGGTCCAGAAGATGATGAATGCAATTTCGAATTTGATATTGATGAGGTAATTTTGAGCTGATAAGTTTTTTTTTGTTTTTTTTTATTTGATTACTAAATCTAACAATCATTTTTTTTTTTTTTTTAAAAAAAAAAAAAACAGATCTAAAAGGGGATTGATAAAAAAACCACAAGAAAAAAGAGAAAAAAAATTATTATAATTATTTGTGGATGTTAAATCCTTCCTTATTAAGACTCTTTACCTTATCATTTTCCACTTTCTCTCGTATTATATTATAATAATCTCGTTAATATTATTTTCATTAAACATTAAATCGTAATCTATTTTACTTCACGTGAAAAAAAAAATTAAGGGTAAAAATAGAAAGGAAAATATAGGATAATTTCTACCCTTCAAAAGTATATATATTTACAAACATTTTTTTTTTTCTAAATTTTATAAAGATATGTAGTTATTATTTTATATAGAGCTTCATAAAGAAGATTATAAAATAACAAAATTAATAAAGACGCTTTCAGTATTATTTATTACTTTATTTTAAATTGAAAATTTCAAAACTTTGCCAAGATATTAATTTGTACTTCGAGTATTTTAATAAAACAAAAAGAGTTAAAAAACGTTCTTTCATTAATCATTATTACAAAAAAAAATGTTAATAATTTTTTGTTATACTAAAAAACCGTCTATAAAATCACTTCATTTGCGCTCTTTACGGCTACCTCGACTTCCACGACCACCACGACTTCCACCACGACTTGTACCACGACTTGCACCACGACTCCCACGACTTCCACGACCTCCACCACGCCCTCCTCCTCGTCCTGCAGAAGGTTGTTTAATGAGACGATCCTTTGTAAGGTCATCTTCATCTTCCACTACATCATCGTCATCAGGAACAACTTCTTCTATAACAAAGTCATCCAAATCGGCAGTTATAACAGGTTTATTAACTTTTGTTGTAACCACATTAGATACGTTTAAGAAAGGAAGAGGGTGTGATGTTGCGTTATACCTATACAAATATATATAAATATATATTACATTATTTTAATCATCACGTGAAAATTAATAAATTAATAAATGAAGAATTAATACTTGCTTTCTTGTAAATGAGGCCTTTGTAGTGCTGGGAATATCAGAACCATTATAGCGCGTTTGCTCATCCTTAAATTCCATGATGGTGTCGAATTGCTCTTTGGTTATCATATATTGATTCATAAAATTAATGACATCGATCATACCATCTGCTTTATTGACAACCAAAGGCTTTATAAGAGCCTTCCTAAGAGTAGGAATATAGCTTTCACGAATTTCACCCCTATCGGCAGAAACTTTGGTTCGTATGTGACTCTGAATTTCTTTCAATTGACGCTGAATCTTTTGAGCTTTAGAATTTTGTCCTAACCAGCTTGGAAATTTATATTGACCAAATTGACCCCCTTTATTAAAACCATGAACATAATATGCGGGTGCAATTGTAGAAAAGTATCCATGCATTGGCATAAGATTCCATTCTTGTCTCGGTCCACGAATCCTTTTATCAACCATATCGCCATAAGACATGGAATCAGCTGCTTTTGCAAAAGCTTCCAAAGATGCAAGCTTTTCTAAAACATCTGGTTTGATATCTTCGTTATCATGTTTTTTGATGAACTTAGTAATGGTATGAGGTTTCATTTTTATATAATTCTCAAAGATCATTAAAGGAATTAGATCGTGTTCTTGAAAGTATAGTTTCATTTTATCATTGAAAGTGTTCTTACGAGATTTCCAGATGTCGTTGCTCAAAAAATCTTTGGAAATTTCAAAGAGACTCTTTCTAAGATGTTTCTCGTTAGTTTTGTTTAAAGCCTTTATCTCATCATAGTCAATAGAATCGTGGTTAATTTTCCATGAAGATAGAATGTTCAAAATTTGACGAATATCAGAGTTTGATCCTCTAATGAGTTCATCAACATCAGTTGGTCGAATTTCTAAATTTTCTCTTGTTGCAATTGTCATGATTCTTGATCTGATTTGTTCAACGCGCGGTTTGGAAAATCTCGCCTCATGACAATAGGTTTTTAACGACTTGAATTTTTGAGAGTTGATGTCATTGCATACACAAACGATCGGTATCCTTGTTTTTTTGATCAATTGGATAAGTTCAGCGATACCACCTCTATCACCAGAAGACATTCCATCAAGTTCGTCCATTAAGATAAGTGTTCTCTTTTTCTGTACATCTTTTGCTTTTGCCTTGCCTGAAGTCTTATCGTTGACTGGGTAAAAGAAACCGGTAATCGATGTATTTTTTGTCGCCACTTTGATAGCAGCCTCCAGTGTCTTTTTACTTCGAGTGTCGCTAGCGTTAAGTTCAATCACTTCGTACCCTTCAAGACCTGCAATAAGATGAACAGAGGATGTCTTACCAATTCCGGGAGGACCAGAAATCAATAATGCAGGCATCCACTCTTTGCTCTTAAACTTGAAGCTTTTCTCATTCCATCCGCTGAGCCATTTTATCATATCTTTTACGAGGTTTTGATTACCGCAAAAATCTCTGAGATGTTTTGGTCGATATTTTTCTGTCCACAATTGGGTACCATTTGCATCAGTTGAAGTGACTGATGCAATCGCTTCGGAAATTTTCGTAATAGGGGCCTTTGATTTTGGAGATTTCTTTATACTAGCAACATCAGAACTAGACTTTTTTGGGGATGTTCTAATCAATTCTAAGAGTTGTTCCTCATTCAAAGTAGGGATTTTGAACTGTTCAACTTTTTCCATTTTTTTTGGTCCTGGATCTTTTCCAACAACAACATATGAAGTTCTCGAACTAGGCTGTAAAGTAACACGACCTCCATTACGTTTGACAATGTCTTGAGCTTCCTCACGGTCCAAAGTATCTAAATCACCGGTAAAAACAAAGGTTTTACCAAATAAGCACATATCTTCGCCTTGAGGTATTTCTTTAGATTCAGAGGCCGTTGGACCCGTTTTATTCTTAATTTGATCAGTTGTTTCAGCGATATTCATTTCATCGTCATCATTATCCACATCGTGAGGTTTTCCTTTCTTCGACCGTGGTGATTTAATAGCGCGTTTACTAGGAGATTTCTCTTCAACGTTCTTTTGTTCATGCTTCGTTTTCTTGGTAGGCAGAGCTTCTTCCTCAGGTGGAAAGTAGTCATCATCAGAAATATTTGCTTCAAAAGACTGTCGTTTTTTGGGTGTTGTTTCGGGTGTTTTTCTTTCAACAAGCGTGGATTTTCTTGTTGAACTCCTAGGTGAGGAAAATATCTCTAGGTTTTCTGAAGTACTGTTATAAGGAGATATTTCATCATCGTCCACCTCATTTGAATTGGATTTTGTAGTTTTAGAACGAATACTTCGCACGGATTTCTTATTTACAATCTCCTCACTTTCGCTTGCTGATTTTGGTTCGTCTTTAACCTTGCTCTTTCTCTTTGGTTTAACTTCAACTTTGTCTTCAACCTTAACTTTAGGTTCATCTTTGACCTTGATCTTTTTCTGAACAAGCCGGGTTGATTGACGTGATGGAGTAGAAGTATTTGACTTTGATGCCTTATTGGGATCACTGAGCTCGTCGTCCGAATCAGGAATGCGGCGCTTGGGTTTCTTTTTCTTTATAGCAGTATCTTTAGAAGGTTTCTCTGCAGAGGTTTTCTTTTCTAGTTTTTTGGTTGTGTTTGGTGCAGAGAAATAGTTACGAATGTCCATTATAAAGAACTTGCAGATATTTTTTTTGGGAATTGATAAATTGTGAGAAATTATAAATATCAAAAAAATAATCGGTGTAACGATGTACAATCACTTTTTCTTAACAAGGAAAGTGTTTTTACTTTTCGACACCAAAAAAAGGAAAGCATCATTTGAGGAAATTTTGGGGGCCTTTCTTTAAGCATTAAATTGTCATTAAGCACTCATTAAATATTTGGCATTGCTTATACAAGAAATGGTCAATTGTTACGCGTAATCGAAAACTGGAAATTAATCGGGTGTCATTGATATCATTTGACATAGCAAAGAGGTGAATTATGTAATTCATTTGGATTTTCCTATATTTAGAACGCATACCTTTGCGGATGGATTGTAATACATCAATAATAGGTATGGTGGTTGTCACCTATAATCGACACAGTCCGAAATTTCAAAATAGCGATAATCACGTGATTTTATATTACTTCACGTGACTTTGTAAATCAAAACGCGCTTTATTGAT